GAAATATGAAATGTAACTCTGAGGGCCTATTTCAATTATGCAAAGTGTGGGCCATTAATGGTGGTTTATAATCTTGATGGTTCCCATCAACCAGGACAATTGGTTGTAAATGGTTTATTTACCTGCAAGCCTTCCTGTATGTGTGTGGGCCAGCCCTGGAAGAATGGAGGGGGGGTCTCACAGGACATGTGAACATGTCACCTGATACTGGAATCCATCTTAAACCTGGCGCTTTTCCATTTAGAAGGAGGGGTGGCAACCCAGAGAGACAAAAGGTTCCTGCCTTGTGCCAAAGATATAAAAGGGGGTGGAACAGAACCAAGTGGGGTCCCAGTCATGAAAAAGCCCCTGCTTTTCACCTCAGATGCCTGCTGGTGTCATCAGACGCTACCGGTGTGGTGCTCTGCTCTGTCCAATGTTGATAACCGTTGGCTGCGTGCGTATGTTCCATCTGTGTGCTGCCCCGGCTCTGCAGATCGCTGGCTCAGCAGACCCTGAGAGAACCCCCAATGACCACAGACTCTAGTAAGGTACGAAGGCACCTGGCCAGGTTTATTGTCAAAGAGAAACACAGTCTCTAGCTCCCCGGATTAGATATCTATGGTTTTGCTAGTACATATGTGCTCCCTGGCAATGGACCGGCTCAGTCAGTGGCAGGACTTTCCACTGCCCCCTAGGCCAGGCAAAGCCACCGCCCCAGGGATGTATTCTTATACACAGGTACGTACAAACAAGTTACACATCACTCCTGACATATTGAAGTGCAACCCCCCTACGTAGTAATGTACAACCCTTCTACGCAATAAGGTGCCGCCTTTCACCTTGTACATCTTGGTTCGAACAAAACAACTCTGTCCATCATATTCCCCTTTTGCCCCTGGCTTTAGGATGGGTCAGCCTGTTCCTCGTTATCTATGTGGAATATGCAAGTATGCGAATGTTCTGATATCTGGTGTCCAGTACCTTTTAGGTATATCTCTTTTTGCAGCATCAGCCCTTTCCTTGCCAGCTTCTGTGGGCAGGGCCTGCCTCTGGCTCACAGCTTAACTTTGCTTTATGTTAACAAAGTCTTGACCATTACTCTAGTACAGGCCTTAGGGCTCATACCGGGCCTTTTCTTACTACAGCTGGAACTAACAAGGACTGTACTGTACCGGGGAAAGGATTGGGCCCAGACTAGGAAGGAGTCTAGTCTGTGAAAGGTTTCAGAGTAGCAGCCGCGTTAGTCTGTATCCACAAAAAGAACAGGAGTACTTGTGGCACTTTAGGGACTAAGATCATCAGATGCATAGAATGGAGCATACAGTAAGAAGATATTTATACATACAGAGAAAATGAAAAGGTGGAAGTACCCATACCAACTGTAAGAGGCTAATTCATTAAGATGAGCGATTATCAGCAGGCGAAAAAAACCTTTTGTAGCCATAATCAAGATGGCCCATTTTAGACAGTTGACAAGAAGGTGTGAGGATACTTAACATGGGGAAATAGATTCAATATGTGTAATGACCCAGCCACTCCCAGTCTGTGAAAGAAGCTTATTGGAACATCTCTAAGAGTGAGATTTACCTGTAATCAGTTTCTTAATGTATTAGGCTTAGACTTGCATGTTTTGTTTTATTTTGCTTGGTAACTTGCTTTGTTCTGTCTGTTATTATTTGGAACCACTTAAATCCGACTTTTTAAGCTTAATAAAATCACTTTTGCTTATTAATAGAATTATAGAAGATCAGGGTTGGAAGAGATCTCAGGAGGTCATCTAGTCCAACCCCCTGCTCAAAGCAGGACCAATCCCCAACTAAATTATCCCAGCCAGGGCTTTTTCAAGCCGGGCCTTAAAAACCTCTAAGGAAGGAGATTCCACCACCTCCAATTCGAGTGCCTCACCATCCTCCTAGCGAAACAGTGTTTCCTAATATCCAACCAAGACCTCCCCCACTGCAACTTGAGACCATTACTCCTTGTTCTGTCATCTGCCACCACCGAGAACAGTCTAGATCCATCCTCTTTGGAACCCCCCTTCAGGTAGTTGAAGGCTGCTATCAAATCCCCCCTCACTCTTCTCTTCTGCAGACTACATAAGCCCAGTTCCCTCAGCCTCTCCTTGTAAGTCATGTGCTCCAGCCCCCTGATCATTTTCGTTGCCCTCTGCTGGACTCTCTCCAATTTGTCCACATCCTTTCTGTAGTGGGGGCCCAAAACTGGAACCAGTACTCCAGGTGTGGCCTCCCCAGTGCCGAATAGAGGGGGATGATCACGTCACTTGATCTGCTGGCAACACTCCTACTAATGCAGCCCAATATGCCGTTAGCCTTCTTGGCAACAAGGGCACACTGCTGACTCATATCCAGCTTCTCATCCACTGTAATCCTCAGGTCCTTTTCTGCAGAACCGCCGCTTCACCAGTCGGTCCCCAACCTGTAGCCCCCGGGGCCTTGATGGACCAGTGGCTAATGCACCACTGCGGTCTGACAGCACTATTCAGAGTCGGACCCGCGGACGCTTGGTCTCATCCCGGGTTTGTCTCAGCTGTCGGCATTTTCACGTTGATTGTCACTAGCTGTTTCTGACTCTGCTTGCCGGGACTTGTAACGCCCGCGTGCCCTGTGACTCACACGGCTTTGGGAACAGGATGGCCTCCATTCGGATCCCTTCCCTTCGTGCCATTGCTTGTGTCCATGGATAGCGATGCTGGGCGCAGTATGTGACGCTCCCAGCCGTTTACCAACAGGAAAGAATTCAGCTCATCCAAGCTCCTTGTCCGATCTTCAGCGCCCGCAGTGCCCGTGGATTGCAGTGGGAGCTTGGGAGTGTTGCCCCCTCTCAGATCAGCCGGGGGCTGGGGATGAGAGAAGCAGTTTTTGTTTCTCCCCGAAGAGCCAGCTGTGAACACAAAGCCTCATGACAGCTCAGTCAGCAGCACTGTCCCCGGGCTGGGGTAACTGGGACTGCCTGTCTGTGGCTAGCACAAGTGGGAAAGCCAAGGCTTGGCTTCACTGTGCCATTCCCACAGCTTCCCAGCGACCTCCATGGAGGCCCTCCAGCGTGAAACAAACAGGAGCAGCCCAGAGGCGAACCCAGCCCTGGGTGTTCAGCCCAGCCCAGCTCATCTGGTTGGCCTCACAGTCCAGGTAAGAACATCAGACTAGAAACGGCACCACTGTAGCCACTCACTGCAGCGCTGGAGGGGTTCGCCCGTCGGCACAGGTGATCTATCTCCCGGAGAGGCAGTAGCTAGCGCTGTTTATACGGGGGGGCTAGGCTGGCTTAACTCTGTTGCTCAGGGGGGTGGATTTTTCACACCCCAAGCGACTTAGCTGGGTTGACCTAACTTCTCACTGTAGACTGGCTTGAGGCTAACGAGGAGACGAAAGCCTGGTCCACACTAGAAAATTAAGCTGACTTATCGCCAGTGGAGACGGTGCTAGGTACCGCCTCTCGGGGAGGTGGAATAATTACAGCAGGTCGGCTCTATGATGAAGCCCTGTGCCAGGGCATTTCAAATGTTACACAAGCCCTGAACTGCCAAAAGATCTGCTCTGGTTCAATGAGGAATGAAGTCAGGGAAGTGCTACGTTCGACGGGAGGGCAGAGATGATCCCAATGGTCCCTTCTGGCCTTGGAATCTAGGAAACTATTACCAAGAACCACCTGAGACTATTAGCCAAAGCCCGCAGAACCCAGCACTGCTTGGAGACAGCTCCCTAGGCCAAGGGCTTGTTGCAGGGTCTGTTGCTGGGCCATTTGCTTATTAACAAGGTAAAGGATGCCCTGAAAAGCTGTGAATTAATGTGACCATCGACCACTAGTTCTAAAAGGAACAGGAGAATGAGAAGAGTTGAGCAAATTCCTCCCACGCACAGGTCCATTTAACCGAACTTTATTAAGGCACAAAGCCACCTCTCTGAGGAAACAGCCACACTGGTCCTGTGTTGGCCAAGACTGAGTCAATACTGCCCACGCTTTGCATTCAGATCTCATCAGTCAGGTTCCTTCTGGTGTTGGAGCCATCCAGGGTTGCAGTTCAAAGCTTTTTTCGTCAACCACGGGCAATGTCCTTTTTAGAAGAAATGAAAGCAAGAGACACTGTGTGATCAGTATCAGAGGGGTAGCCGTGTTAGTCTGGATCTGTAAAAAGCAACAGAGTCCTGTGGCACTTTTAAGACTAACAGATGTACTGGAGCATAAGCTTTCGTGGGTGAACGCCCACTTTGTCCGATGCTCCAATACATCTGTTAGTCTTAAAGGTGCCACAGGACTTTCTGTGTGATCAGGTGACTCCAGGAGCTGGGGCTTGGAGAAACACACTAAATAGTGTGAGATTTGGCAAGCACTGCCTCTCACACGGCTGTTGGTGCTACAGGGCTCCGGGAGGTGGGGCCTAGCTGACCTTGGCTGTGTCACTTACGATACAGCCCCACCTGTGCAGAAGTGGCCTGTAATTCTGAATGTCTCCGTTTCTGGGCCCCCAATTTTTGATGCCTTGAGCCTGACTGAGCCCCTTGGTCCCAGGCCGATTCTCTTCGCAGGCTGAGCCTCACTCTCCCTCTGGCTGGCATCACGCTTGGTCTCCCAGCTCGATTGAACCGAGCACCCTCCGACCATTGTGTTGCAGTAGCACCTCGGAGGGCAGCCCCGCGTGCAGGTCGCTGCACACACATGGGGCCAGGAAGTGGGTGCGACAGGCTGGGGGGCAGCGTTGGGCGGGGGGGCCAGGGAGGCGGCGGGGGAGGCCAGCGGAAAGGCCCATCCCCTCCCCAGCTGGGTCCTCCCCACATCTGGGTCTCTGCTCCCCCTCGGTGTGAGTGAGCGCCGGATCTGCCGGGGGGAGGGTCATCCCAGCGGGGGGGCGGGGTCAGCCCCGTCCGTCCTCCATCACGTGGGAGGGAGCTGCCCGCCCTGCCTAGCCTCGCTTCCTGGTCACGTGAGCGAGCGAGCGGCGCCGATCGGTCACGAGAGGCACCCAGGGAAGCGATGCCCGCTCACGTGTCCCGGAAGTCCCGCCCTGTTTCCGGCCATCTCCCGGAAGGAAGCCGCCGTCCGCGGGCTCCCGGCTCAGTCAGTTCGCTCGCGCCATGGCGTCAAGGTTACTGCGAGTGTGCGGCGCCCTGCGGGCCCTGCGCCGCCCCCCGGCCGCCACGCTCCGCCCGCCCGGCCCCGCCCGCGCCTTGGCGACTGGAGGTGAGCGCGGGGGCGGGGTCCCGCTAAGGGCGGGGGGGGCTGCCGTGACCCCCCCGGAGTGACCCTGCGGCGCGGATCCTGGGTCGCGTCTGTCACTGGTGGGGGGGACCAGGTCCCTCCGCCGCGTGGGGACGCGGGTCCTGCCCCCTCTTTCCCGGGGGGTTTGAGTCTCCAGCGGCTCCCGGACCAGAGCCCCGCGCACGGGCTGTGCCGAGCGGGGTGTTAGACCCGTTACCGCCGGCCCCGGAACTCCCCCGGGGCTCGGGCAGCCGGACCGCGTACGGCGGCCGCAGGGTCTGGACCGAGCTCGGTTTAGATCAGCGGGCGCGGCCCGGTCCGCGCTGACTCGGGGAACAGCAGCTGTGGAAATGAGGATGGGCTGGAAACGCCCCTGTCAGTGCGGGTCTCTACCAGCCCCCAATGTGTCTAATGCTCGGACTGGCTGATGACTGAGGCTCTTCCGGGGTGGTTGGGGAAGGGGGGTTCGGACAAGGATCCTGGTGTAAAAACGTGAGACTGGCCAGGCTGGTCAGCCCAAAGGTCCATCTAGCCCAGGGTCCTGTCTGCTGACAGTAGCCACTGCCAGGAGCTTCAGAGGGAATGAACAGGGCAACTTTTGATCCCTTGTCATCTCAGAGCTTCTGGCTCTGAGGTTTAGGGAGACCCAGGGCATGGGGTACCATCCCTGCCCATCCTGGCTAATAACCATTGATAGACCTGTCCTCCAGGAACTTCCCTAACTCTTTTTTTTAATCCAGTTATACTTTTTGCCTTCACAACATCCCCAGGCAAGGAGTTCCACCGGTTGACTGCATTGTGGAAGAAGTGCTTCCTTTTGTTTGTTTTAAATCTACTGCCTCTTAATTTAACTGGGGCTTTGTCTGCACTACAGCTTACGTTGGTAGAAATGATGTTGCTAAATTACACTGACCTGAGCACCGGTGGGTGTGCACAGCGCTGTGTTGGCAGGAGAGCTTCTCCAACGGACACAGCTCCTGCTGCTCCCGGGGGCTGGAGTTATTCAGTCAATGGGAGCCCGTCATCTTAAAGTGTCTGTACTAGCAGCTACAGTGGCATAGCTGCATTGCTGTCACTCTGTAGTGCACCCATAGCCTGGGTGACACCTGGTTCTTGTATTACGTGAAGGGGGAAATGACACTTCCCAAGTCACTTTCTCCTCATCAGTCAGGATTTGATATAGATCTCTATTGTATCCCCTGCTCAATCCCCTCTTCTCCAAGCTGAACAGTTCTAGTCTTTTTAATCTCTTTCTCAGACAGAAGCTGTTCCATACCCCTGATTTTTGTTGTCATTCTCTGTACCTTTTCCAATTCCTATGTATCTTTTTTTGAGATGCGGCAAGCAGATCTGCACGCAGTATTCAAAGAGTGGGGGTACCGTGGGTTTATATAGTGGCATTATATTTTGTCGTCTTACCTATTCCTTCTTACTGGTTCCTAACACTTTGCTTTTTTGACTGCTGCTGCACATTGAATGGATGTTTTCAGAGAACTATCCACGGGGACTCCAAAAACTTTCTTGAGGGGTAACAGTTAATTTAGACCCCATCGTTTTGTATGTATAGCTGGGATTATGTTTTCCAGTGTGCATTACTTTGTATTTATCAACATTGAATTCCGTCTGCCATTTTGTTGTCCAGTCACCCAATTTTGTGAGATCCCTTAGACCAGAGCTGACTGCTATCTTGAATAGTTTTGTATAATTGGCAAATTTTGCCACCTTGTTGTTTACCACTTTTTCCAGATCATTTGATTATGTTAAACAGTACTGGTCCCAGGATAGAACCCTAGGAGACACTGCTATTTACCTCTCTCCCCATTGTGACAAATGACCATTTATTCCTACCCTTTCTTTCCTGTTTTTTTAATCAGTTACCAATCCATGAGAGGACCTTCCCTCTTACCCCATTACAGGTTACTTTGCTTAAGAGCCTTTGAGAGGGACCTTGTCAAAGGCTTTCTGAAAATCTAAGTACACGATATCCACTGGATCCCCCTTGTCCACATACTTGTTGATTCCCTCAAAGAATTCTAGTAGATTGGTGAGGCATGATTTCCCTCTACAAAACCCATGTTGACTCTTCCCCAACATACTGTGTTCATCTCTGTGTCGGCTCATTCTGTTCTTTACTATAGTTTGAACCCATTAGCCTGGTACTGAAGTTGGGCTTACTGGCCTGTAATTGCCAGGATCACCTCTGGAGCCCTTTTTAAAATTGGCGTCATATTAGCTATCCTTCAGTCATCTGGTACAGAAGCTGATTGACAAAGGAAATGCAGTGGATCTAATTTACCTCAATTTCAGTAAGGCATTTGATACGGTTCCACATGGGGAATTATTAGCTAAATTGGAAAAGATGGGGATCAATATGAAAATTGAAA